ACCACAATTTAGTGTTAAGAATTACCATTGACTTGTATTTCATATGGATAGCTTAATTTTTTACAATAAAATATTTTTCTCTAGGTCTGTATGAATTTCTAGAATTAAGCAATAGGGTGGACTTAAAAAAAATATTATCGAGACATTAGTAATACTTAATTTGATTGAAACAAGTTCATCTACTTTTCCCTTTTTATCAATAATTTGCACTTATAACGAGTAAATGTTTTGTGTAACAGATAAGAACAATTCACGTATTATATTATTTATTTTGAAATACAAAATAAAATTAGAGATTAAGTGTACACGTAGCGCTTAAGTTTTTAAGCATGTTCTATTTTTCATTTACGAAGACTGACACGTGCATACATGGTAAAAAAGACATTTTGGTTAAAAGTATGTTTAACTCAAGCATATGACATGGTTGAAATAAGATGAAATCGATATAAGCTAAGAGATTAGGATAGTGTTTTTTAAGTCTTAAAATTTAAAAGAGTTTAAGTTGTTTGCAACCTCTTATTGTTTTTTCCAGTTTACCCTTATCGTTTATATAGATGGAAAAATCATGAGACACAAAGACCGAAAGCAATTTATACTTTTTCAATTTACGGCTCCATTTGTTTCATGAAAAATGAATTATTTCAAAAACATTTTCCTAAAACTGATGGCTTGTATCATATACAAAAACGAACTAATGAAAAATATTTTCATCATCCACAAAAATGTTTAGATATAAATTATTATTAGTAGTGAAAATATTTTTCATTAACTAATTATTTTAAATGATACAAGCAATCATTTTTAGGGAAATATTTTCCAAATCACTTATTTTTCCACAAAATAAACTCACCCTCTTCTTGACAAGGGCGACATTTATTGGTAAAACAATTTGTCCATCCATATAAGGTTGCGTCTTTTCATATATAATGCATGACTATTCGTTATGTATTTTTTGGTTTCTTACATTTATGAATATATCAAAAATACCTATTAAACATGTTTCATGAGAAAATATTGGATTTTCAAAATAATGAATGTGTTCATCACAAGAACTAATGACGCATTGAAAACTATAAATATTTTGCCTATGAGAGGAGCAACCTTTAACGAAGATTTTCAACAAATATATCATGTACCGACATAATACCGTGATCCTCCTCTTCTTTCTCACAAAAAATTTCAAGTTATCCCACGCTATTTTGCTTCCACTGTCATTCTCTTTATCCCCTTCCTTTTCTAAACAGAGTTGCAATCTTAGCAAGACTCTGAGAAATTTGGGCATTGAAAGAATGTCTTGGGGATGTCGATAATTTGTAGTATATATTTAGATTTTACCTGAATGAATTGATGGCGATTCTAGAACTCTCTCTTAAAGATTTTGAAATACTTTAGTCGCTGACCTAATATTGATGTAGAGAAGACTCTAGCAAGACCTCTCGAGACTTGTGAAGCCAGCGACACTTTTAAATAGAGTTTGGAACCCCAGGCACATTCACAATCATAAAAACTTTAGGGTAAGAACAGGATTCACATGGAATTCCATCGACGAGATTTTAAGTGGAACGATCAATCCTCATTGATTGCTTCTATATGAGGGGTTCTTCAACTCTATGCAAGACACTACCTCGGTGTGAAATCGCAAAAAAGCACGAATGAAGTTGTGTCCAAAACAGTGTTTGATGGAGTAAAAGTTTTTTTTTTCTAAACCTTAGAGTAAAAGTTATGCAAATGACCAACCACAAAAATTTAAACTTATAAGTAGAAACATATTAAGAGCATATAAATCCCATGAATAAAATATGTAGGATTCTTTAACAATTATGAGTGTAAATTTGCCAAAATCACGATTGAAGTCATGTCCGAAACAATCTTATGAAGTACAAGTGTTTTTTTTCCAAACCCTACAGCACAATGCATGCAAATGAGATTTGAAGTACACAAAAAGGTTAAAAACATGATAAGGTGATTTTTAGGGCAAAACTCCAAATGATCAAAAGGATATGGCTCCCCCTTAAGAACTTGCTTTTCACATGAGAAAGTGAAAGTAAACCGAGGTGGGTTTATGCTTTTAATTGGAAAGATGATAACAAAATAATAGGGCAAAGCTGTTGAAGAATGGTGGTTAGATGTGGGGTTGAATTTGTGATATTGAAAAAGCGTAATACAAAAAGTTCGATAGCAAAAAGGAACTAGAAAGGTGATAAACTTTTTTTATTTGAAATTTTTCCTTTTCCTTTTCTGCCAAAAGTCAAATAGGGCCTATTCGACATATCAATCATAATGATATCCTCTCACCGCCGAGGCAGAGAAAGAGAGAGAGGGGACAGATTTGCACCCAAGATTTATCATCATTGCCTTTGATATTTCAGCTTGAGTTGCCCTAGAAAAATGATGAGAAAATATTTTTATCAATCTTCACTTTTTCCCTTCTTTCTTTTGAAAGACGTGGGTGTTGCCGTGTTGGTGAATTGGAAAAAAGAAAACCTCACTTACCCATCATACTCCTGTTCTATTATTGTGCACTCATCTGTTTGCCCTTTTCTCCTTGGCTCCGTCTAGCCAAAGTGACTGCCCATTGCACACAAAAGTTCCATCTTTTATGTTCACTTTTGTTTGGGTTGTTTGGCATGCTTACATTCAAATGGAGATGTGCCAAAAATAATACTATGCTCGGTACATTTGTTAGAATATTTATATATTGAGCAACGCTTTCATCTAATACTTAAACTTTTAGAATAGTTGTCTGTGAATGAGCATTTTAAATTTGTGAACGAGAATATTATAAATGATTCATTTATATGAGCATATTGATGAATCATTTGATACTATTATAAGTGGGCATTTAAATAAGCAAAACATATTTAGAACTTGATAAGACTAGACTATCATGTCATTTAATCTAGCAACTATTGCAAATTAACTTTAATATAAATAATATTATTCCAGTGAGAAAAAGCCCAGCTGCAAACACTTGTCGTGTAATGTTGACACGTTTTGAGAGGGAAACGTGAAAGTTTTCCCCATCTTTTATGCAAAAGTGAAAGTTTTTGTCCTGAGTATGGAGTCCATTATACTTTCACGGATCGTTTCCAGGGTTTTTTAACGGCTGTGATGGGATTTGCTTTTTCTTTTGTGCCGAATGTGTTAGGATTCACTTTTTTAAATATGAAATAATTTTTTGATAAAAAAATCAAATAATTTAAAATATATTGTATATATTAAATAATTTAGAAACTATGCACTTTACTGAACTCTATACAAGAGTACGCATGCTTCAAAGGTCAAAGGACCATGTAACTTTAGAATAAATGCATCAATTTGAATATTTGTTCTAGGCATATTACATTGAACTCCATTAGAAGCATTCGCAGTGTTCATTAATTCTTTAAGGTACATCTTATTTATCCTCGACAACAATTTTGACCACTCTTAGGCATTTATAGAATTAAAATAGTTATGAGATTAAAATTTCTAATGTCATAAAAAAAAAAGGTTGTACGTCCATTGCTATATATACACTCTCCTTTCCCGTTATATGAATATTCTCGACAAAAAGTCAGGATGATCCTTAAACCATCCTCAGGTTAGGATATATTATTCCATTATTCTATAAATTCAATGGACAATTTTTTTCAATTTTCGTTTGCATTGCAATGAAATTAATCCTCAAATGTAGTTTTCGATTTTCCTATTTCCTTTAGATGAAAATACATTTGCGACGTCGTTTTCACTTTTTTTACACTTCAAGTGTCTCCAACCAAATTCCATTATGCTCGCTCGTTAAGATCATAAAGATCGATATTTTTCCTATGAGAGCTACCTAATCTGCTTATATTTATGATTATCTTTGGTTCCTAACATTGAATATAATAAGTGAAATAAAAACTTCTTTAGGTAATGTTTAGGGGGGAGCGGTTGTGAAGCCCTTTTAGTTCTAATTCAAGAAAGAATGATTCAAATTCAATCATTCCATGGCAATCGAGTGCATTGAGTTTAGATCAGCACGAGTAACCCCTTGTTGATTTGGCAAGAGAAGCTTACTAGAATCGTCTTCCTACATAAACTGATCTTAAGTTTTATAATATCTTTTTTATTTTTGTTCACATGCGATATTAAAATGATAACAATTATTAGTTTCCAAATTTCCTAAAAACATGTTCACTAAGTGAAAACGAGTTTCCTGTAGAAATAAATTAACAGATTGCTGTTGTGACTTTTTAGTTGTTAACGTACCTTTCTATGATAATATGTCCGATTTGCTTTTAAAATAACGCCAAACGCACTTTTAGAACTTTTCATATAAAAAGAAGGAGAAGAAGAAGAAGATAAAAACAAATTAATTGACAACTTTTTATTGGGCCGACCATAACGTTTGCATTCTAAAGTTTGTTTTTGGCAATTTCACCTAGATCCTACTTAAATGACAAATTCAAAGGTTCTTCAATGTTGTTTCTCTAATTGAATTCTATAATATCTCAAAAAATGATTTTTTGAAGAATTCATAGTTGTTGAGACAAGAATAAATATAGATCTCTTACGTTTATTTCGGGGAAATTACCAAAATACTCCTAAACTTATTATATTTATCCCAATTCAGTTCTAAACCTAAACTTATTACATTTGTGTAAATTCAGTTCTAAACTTTTCAACTTGACATATTTAGTTGTAAACTTTTGACAATTTGCTAATTGAGTCATTCCAACCAATTTTGATCGGTAATCACTGACGTGGATGCTGGTCGTATTACCTGGCACAAAATTATCAAAGAGTTCAGGACTGAATTGGTATAAATGCATTAAATTTATGATTTTTTTGACAATTTTCTCCGCTAAATTGAAGCTTTTGAAGTCATTCTTTATTGTGCTACTTTATGTAAGAAATTTCGATTACATAATATTTATTTAATGACCATGCCAATAAACGCTAAAATCGCTGGAGAAGCCTCTGGTTTCTCTGACATACTAAATTGATATTGCACTCGGAAAGAGAAAGTACCCTCTTCATTCTCTTTAAGCCCGAATAAAATCTTCACAGCCAAAGAAAGAGAGAGAGAGCGAGAGACTTCTCTTGCTTCTTCTCTCCTCAAGATCCCCATAAAAGAAAAACCAAAAAGTTCATCTCCCTCCCTTAGATCTTCTCTTCACGCTTCACGAGAGAGAGAGAGAGAGAGAGATGTCAACTACTGCAACGTCCACGCAGGCCATGCTCAACCAGGCAACAACCATGTTAGAAGACCAGAACTTGCCCTCGCAGCTGGGTTTCTACTCCATCTTCCCTTCGAGCATGAGCTCCCTCGCTTCGTGCTCATCGTCGCTTTGTTTCAACCAATCCCTCAAGTCCCTCCTCACCCTCCCTTCTTCGCTTGTTTCTCCCGATCCTCCCTCCTCCAACAGTAATAATAACAACCTCACCCTCATCACTGAAACCCTACTTTCATCTACCACTCCTCACAAGCAAAGAGAGAATCTTCTGACTCCTTCTGAACAACTCTTGGGAGGTCCCCAACTTCTGTCGTTGCAAAGATCAACCCCAAATCTCTGGTAAAATCAGAAAAAGAGAAGAAGCAAAGAATTTTGATAACTACTGATAAACTGGTAATTATTTATAGCACCCATTTCTTGAAAATCTATTGTTTGCATGTTTTCTTAGGGCATGGGGTGAGTTGACTGATCAGAGCGGCTTGGTCATGAGATCGTCATCCAGCGGTGGAGACCATGGCGATCATTATCATCATCACCACCAGCATCAAAGCTTGGGGGTTTCAGCTTTGAAGATGAAGAAGATAAAGGGGAGGAGGAAGGTGAGGGAGCCGAGGTTTTGCTTCAAGACCATGAGCGATGTGGATGTGTTGGACGATGGGTACAAATGGAGGAAGTACGGTCAGAAGGTGGTCAAGAACACACAACATCCCAGGTAAATATGTTCTTTAAATCTCATTATTATCGTTTTCTTCAGACACCCACAAATTAAATTAGCCGCAGATTTCTTCTTTCTTTTTCTGGGTCTTTTTATAAGTTTATTGATAGCCTTTTGTGATTGATCTCACAACGACCAGTTCTTTAGCTTTATACTTCATGTGCCCCATCTCTCTCTCTCTCTCTCTCTCTGAGGTAATATCATTATGTCTGAATCATCACTGAATTAATGGGATTTGCAGTGTATGGCGGTGCAAAGGAGATTACCAATTATGTGGAATGAATGAACTTGGTTGATAATTAGGTGCTCATGAAATGGGTTTAACTCGGTAAAAATCAACTAATTATTAGCTTGAAAAGAGGAAAATCATGTCCAAAAGTATCGAGACATGCAACAATCGATGCATTATCACGTTCCATGCTGAACAAAGCGCCATCAATCTGAAGAGAAATGAATAACAGCGACATTGAGGATATGCCGCGTTTTCGTTTGGGATTTTCACATCATAATATTTATGGATGATCAAAAGAAAGAGCATAGTCTAAGTTGATTATCACTATTGACTTAAGGGATTTCACTAGTCAACAGGCATGATTTAGTCGTCACTCATTATTTTGACATTTAGGAGAATGTGATTATTAGGAGACTTCTCAGTTTTACACACACATCTACTTCATTCAAGAGAGGAAGACATTGTTATGCTTTCATTATAGTTTCTTTTATTTTTCTTCTTTGGCCGAAATGCTCTTCTATAGTTGGATAACAAAAATGGGTTCGATTCCGACAAAAGCAGGAACAGTGCTCTCACATGTCGGAAATGATTTCACTGCTGTACTAAATGAATATTCTGGTCCACGAGTATCTTGACTCCATCTTCACCTGTCTTAGATATATTACCGCAAAAAGAGAAAAAAATTAATTACATTGGGAAATATTTGGATATTCTCATTAACGGACATTACCTGTGATATATGTGTATACATATTGTTCGGTGATTGCATAGTCATAGGTCCTTTAGTTTTACAAGTTATCCTTGAAAATCAGTCTGTTTGGTCAGATTAGTGAAACTTTGAAAATCAAGATTGATGTGGCAACCATGTAAAATTTGTGTGACTTGTATTAATTTTTATGTTCTTCATGTACATTGGTCTGAAAATTGGAAGAAAAATTGTTTTCGACTTTGGTAAACATTATTAGTATCATGCTTTCAGATTACCTTTGGCTAAATAGGAACCTATTCTTCAAAAGAGAGTCTAGAATGGATGAACCTAGGGATAAGTGTTGAAAAGTTATTGTAAGATTTATAAATCATATAGATCATTCTCGTCTCAACCATTAATTATGTGGTGGATTCACATGATCAACGATTGAGATTGACTTGGTTTGCACAGTCTATATATAAACTTATAGACTTTCACGATTCTTTTTTCATGCCTAGGTCTTCACGAAAGACTGTCTTCTGCTCTTGAGCACGTGTTTCTTCCTATGTCCTTTTATTCGAAATATCATTCCTGCGTGCCTAAAGGCTATAGTTGCGTTTTCTTTATTTGTTAATGGGGATTCTTTGTCTCTTATGATAGTATTATTGGTGTCTCTATCGATTCTCAACCGTTGATGTATGAAAAATGAAGTTCGCATCAACGGTTGAGATAGATCGAGATACTCACACAAGTTCTATGTCAAATAAAGGGTTCATGTCCCTCGTTTTTCCATATGCCATCACCAAAAGCAAAAAGATATATAAAATAGCGTATATTCGGATGCTTCCTTGTTCATGTTCAATTTTGTTGCCTAGCAAGAGAAGGGTGCATGCGAGAAAAATGATGATGATCGAAGTTGTCTCTAGTAGCAGATGATCTTGCCTGATGATGAAGTAAATTGGGCATGACCACGGTCCATGTACCAGTGAAGGGCGAGCCAATGACATTTATGATGGGTCGCAATGCTCGAGTCAACGATTCGTGATCTTAGAATTGATTAGGTCGCTTAAACTGCGCCGACATCGGTCGAATCGCCTCCTATTCTTCGAGTCCAAAGCGTCTTCACCTATGTTGGACTGGCTGACAGCAAGTTGCCATCTTGGTTGCAGGAGCTACTATCGCTGCACGCAGGACAATTGCCGGGTGAAGAAGCGGGTGGAGCGGCTGGCCGAGGACCCGAGGATGGTGATAACGACGTACGAAGGCAGGCACGTGCACTCCCCATCGCAGGACGTCGAGGACTCGCAGGCGTCCTCGCAGTTGAACGACTTCTTCTGGTAGTAACTAATCATACATATATATATATGATCATCACTAATAAAGCATAGATGGAGGGTTCTGTGGCAGGCTTATGAGGGTTCGTATATTGCCAGGGTCGAGCAATAACCAGTATTAACTGCATCTTCCTTCCTTCCTTCTTTCTTTCTTGATTATTTGGTTTCTTTTGGTCCTTTTTTGCGGTGAACTCCGAGTCAACTGGTGGTCAAAGATCACTACGGTGACTTTCCTTCGCTTCTGAAGTTGAGGGATGCTTTGAATTTACTGATGTTGGTTGGGGAAAAACTGTTGTTGCCCGCATTCAAATTTGGGCCTCAGTATATGGTGATGATAGTGTCTGTGTTTATATAATATAGTTTTCTTGTTTTTGTTGCCTGAATTTCCTTGGTTCCACCATCAAGTTTGGGGCATGGCTTTGTCTCTAATCTTTACTTTCACAATGTATGAAAGCTCGATATACCGAAAAATCTCTTGATCGAAAAGTCCGCCCTTTATTTCGCGGGAAAATTGTGATGAGAGGAATATTAACGTATTAACGTTTCACGGGTTCATTTGTTCCGAAAGACCGCCCCTTTTGAATCGTACCCATCTGTTATATTCATCAAAGCAATAATTTCGAGAATCATTTTGTCTTTTCATATTCTAATATCAATTTGCATCTTCAGTTTTGAAAATCTACAATTTGCATCTCCAGATAGAATCTACAAATCCAAAAAGATCAATCTATCATCAGATTTATCCAAACTTTAAACCATCCTCCCCTCTCTCTCGGCTCCCGTTTCTCCCTCTCCTTGGCCATGGCCAACATCAAGCTCGAGTGGAGCGTGACGAATCTAGGTCAAGCTTGATACTAGCGGAGGTCGACAAATTCGTGTTGAGCTCGACACCGGCAAAGCTCGACACATTTGTATAGTCAAGCTCTACACCGGCTGAGCTCAACAGTTCACGGCTCAACTGGGGTGGCGAGTGGCAACGGCATGGCGATTTCGACATATTATGTATTATGACAGGAAAGTGTTAGAATATTACTTTTTCATTAGTCATATCATGATCTTGTGATTCTGCCAAAAACACGAGTGTCACAAAAATTCCTTTCGATTACTCAATAACTTTTCACTCGTGATTATCAAGTACTGAGTATTTTATTGACAAATTTCATGATATAATTATTCCTTTTTTTTTTCCAGATACGCACTCTCATAATTTAGAAAACTTGAAACAGGGTAGTTTGGGGGCCTCAACACATTTGTCCTGGCAAAATTAAGGACCCAAAACGAACGAGACCCGGCCCATTAAGTTTCGCTGTTGGGCTTGATGGTGGGCCGGGCTAACTCTTGACCGGTTATTTGTAGAAACTCCTCCTTCATATCTCTCTCTATATATATATCAAGAGCTAATACTATTAAAAATCCAAATTGCTATCCCGCGGCACATTTATCCCACATTAATTTTTGACTAAAAAATATCTCAAAGTGGTACCCCATGATGCACTTATCATAAACTAATTTCTTTTTAGACTAAGTCTCGAACTAGCACTCTCATGACGCTTTTATCCCATATCCATGCATCGTTAGCAGTTTGGAATTAAGGAATAATACTATCAAAAATCTGAAATTAGCACTCATGAAGCCCAAACTGGGTGCCCACGATACATTTACCTCGAATTAATTTCTGTCTCACAAAAAATCTCAAAACAGTACTCTCACGACACATCTAACCCAAATCCATCCTTCGGTAACAGTTCGGGATGTAACATAGACGGTAGATTCGATTTTGGGTATCGGTTCTTGAACTGTCATAAGATAAAAACTGATTTCAAATAAACGAGTTATGTGGTACCGGTTTGAGATCTTCAATGGTATTAGCTTTCGAATAAACCACACTAGTTTAAAGAGAGAGTGCACTACCATGTCGCGACAAAAGCATTGAACACATTTACGACCACATGAATTTGTCGACGTGCAACTTTTCGACGGCAAAGAACCATCTCGAATCTGAGCTTATGCACACGCACAATACCACCAATGTGAACCCTAAACCCCACATGAAACACAAGGTCCTCATCAAATCAAAGTACAGTAAAACTAGCAGTGGAAGATATTTCATGAACAAGCAAAGCATCAGTTCCACGGTGCCAACTGCTCTACTTCCTGCATCATCCCAAGTCGCTGTACTGCTGCAAAGGAAAAATTGATATAAAATTGTCTTTGAGCCAGACAGAGGTTGTCAAATGTTAACGTCTGACCAGACAAGCCATGAACAGGAAGCACGCATCCGAGGCTGGCACTTTGCTGGCCTTGCCGCCCACGAAATCAACACTTTCCTTTGGCTCAATCCAGGTCCACGTAGTGGCATCGTGCATGATGCATGGTTGGTGGTACATCTTCGCGTATTCAGCCGTACATCCTTGACCTCAGTACTTAGTTAGGTGTGAATAATCATAATTATATGTTCTCTAATCTCGTTTAGAATAGTTTCTACACAGCATGTGGTTTTTATTTTTTTAGTTTTTTGATAAGTGAGGAAGGACCATGAATCTTACTTTGTGTCATGTGCATAAGAAATTCTTCTTTTTCCTTACTCATTTGGCATCGTAGATTCAAATTCTATTTGAGAGATTAAATTTGCCGAAATAGGATTTTCGGTCGTGTTTGGATTGATGTGTACTACATTTCAAGCGCGTATGCTGTTACTCTTAATGTTTCTAATCTATAATCGTTGTAAATTAAATCGTGACAGAATAAGCTTTCTTTCTAGTTTCCGTAAGTATTTATCTTTGAAGTGGATGAAGTAGGTAGTTTTAAATTGTGAGTGATTATAATTATGCTCTCTTTCTTCAATTACTGTTTGATTAGGGGAGGGGGGTTATTAGAGAAGGCTTAATGAGCAGCTCCTACTCTCATGAAGAATACATTATCCTTGGCTCATTTAGAAACGTGCAATCAACATATTTTTAACATTATTAACTTTGGGTTTCATTTTAAGTTAGAATTTAATTAGAGATAAACTTTGGCCAAAAGAAAAGTTAGGAGAGGAATGCAACTGCACCAGTTAAGCAGTGCCCAGGTAGAACCTACTTAGTATCTAATAATTTTCTTCCTGCCAGAGGGTGGAATATTTTTGGCCTTTTAAACTTTTTTAGAACCTAAATCGAAAAGTAGTCATCACCTTATAAATTAGTAGTGTTGGACATGCAAAGTTAGATTTAGAAGGAGATAATACAATTTTGCCAAATTTAGGTTAAAAAGGGAATGGAATAAGGATATTTTGCACAAATCTTCACAAATGATCAAATACAATTACTGATAGTTGCGTCGACCATATAACTGCAAATGGATCCGCTACGATAAAGGAAGACAAATGGATCGAAATCTGAATGCATAGCCCAAGCTAGAATTAATCAATTTTGCTAGTCCAAAGGTCAAGCCTAACTTGTCATTTAAGATTGTAAGAGATGCATCTAAATGCTTGGGTTGCACTCATTAACGTTATCCCGCAATGTATTTTCTCATGGTAAATACCGTCAATTCTCTAAGAACTTTAACAAAACAATGTGAGTATGATTAATAAGCGTCTCGAAGACACCCTTTACTGGACGACTCACCCTTTAGGAAAATTCAAATTAAAATGAGGGTCATCCGACGAAAAGAGAAAAGAAAGTATTAAGAATGAGGGTCCACTTTGGGAGAAGTAGCTAAGGGTCGAAGATCAAGACAAGAGGTTGGGCTTTCAATGCAAGAGAGGAGTGAGTTCGACCATGTGGTCCCTCGTGACCCGCACGTTCAAACCCCGATTTCAAGGACGACCAGATTTAAAGTCATTAATATCTTTTTCCAAATCTCATTAATTAGAGACTCGTAGTCTTTTTTTTTAATAATTAAAACAACAAACCCCCAAAAGAAATAAATAATCATTTGGTTGTGTGTACTCGTCACGTTTGATTCTTCCAAGTTGGGAATCTTTCCTAAATTAAAAATTTAGCCTAAACTAACTTGTATCAATACGACACATTGATACTCTATCAATGTTCCATAAAAAATCGCACCTGCATGGACAACGGAAGACAAATAATGCTGTCATGTCGTCCACGTAACTTAAGTATAATAAGAACAATACTGTTTTGGCTGAAAAATCATCTTCCAAAATCTTGATGGAGGGTAGATGTGTCACACGAATACAAGTTTGGGATTTTGGTGTTATAAGAAAAAGTTAGGATAAATATGTCATACTTTGGCATAGTATAGGATTTTTTATGTCAAAAAAAAAATTCAGGGTAAATATATCACAGTAGATATAGTTTGGGATTTTTGAAGAATTTTCCCCTTAAAACTATTAAAATCTTTTCAAGGAAATTCGTTGTGATTAAAAAATTATGGATCGAATTCGATCAAGTCCTTCGTTTATCTTCGTTAATTACACCAAGATGGAAATATGATGTGGCGCATCAAACCCAGAATGAAGTCGCCCTTTTAAAAGATTTGTGGTGTTTTGATTATAAATGGAAGATAATTCTGCATTTAAGGTCCGTTTATTTCGAGGAAAATGAATGATTTGGGATAAAAAAAACTTCTTAAAATGATCGCTTATATTGTTTAAAAAAATAAATGAACGAAAAATATTTTTATCGTCCATAAAAATGTTTAGAAATAAATTTTTGTCAATAATGAAAACATTTTCCATTGACTGATTATTTTAAGCAATATAAGCGATTATTTTTAAGAATATATTTTCCAAATCATTTATTTTTTGCGAGACAAATGGAGCCTTAATCAAAATTTGACAATCGGGTTAAGTCTTTTTAGGTTTGAATATTATTGAGTTCATAAAAAAATTATTTCGAAAATTTATTACGAATAGTTCAACTTCCATATATGACTAGTTACAAAGCCATCGGTTCACGCTGGCATATTTGGATTATATGTGTTTTATCGGCATATATTTTTATTTTTACACGAGTGTTCGCGCATAGTTGTTGTCACTTATGATCTCGAGAATGTGATCACTTATAGTTTTGTTACGAATGTGTTGGACCTATATCGGTACATAAATTCTAAAAAAGAAATAAATTTGTAAAGTCAAACGTACGTAAAAAGAAAAAAAACACTCAAAGTTAAATTTAGAAAAGGCAGATTAAAGATTTTAAGACTGAAATCTAGCTAAAATGAATGTATGGTAAAACAAAAGTAGATAAAAAGAGTTTGAAAACTATTAGCTTATTTGCAAGATTTCGGTTTACTCTTATTTGAGGATACGAATATCCTTATCATATATAATAGATGAGCGTTAATTGATCTACACGTAAAATTGAAGGTTGTTAGTTTCGTTTTTGTATCTGATGTAGATAACATATATTTACTTGCTGTAAGAG